CTTCTTCCCCCTATGGGTTGATTCAGCAAAATTAAAGGCCTCAGGTCTAACAACTGGTTCCTGGAATACTGGTGGCTTGTTTTCACTACCAGTCTTCTTGCCAGCAGGCTTAAGTACCCGTTTGCCTCCCCGGGGAGCCTTGGGAGCAGGAACGGCTACTGGCTTCTTGGCCCCCAACTGTCCTATGGAGGCATTTTGTGGCTTCAGAGGTGCTCTTCCTCTCCCTTTGGCTTTCTGAAGGCAGAAATGTGATCTAACTTACAGTTCTTCCATATAGGGACTGACATCACTTCCTCTAAATCAATAATTTTATATTTTAACTCAATCACCCTGTTTGGCAAGAATACATGCCATGGCTACAGTAATACAAGTCAATGTATTGCCTTTGCACATAAATGGCTCTACAAGTGCTTAGTCACCAAAGAGTCTGTTATTAGATTTACTTAACTCATCTGTTTACCCTTTTCCACGATTTTTAGAAAGCTTGTTTTGTATTATCTTATTCTTTAGTTATCAATATTTAATAACAATTCAATAATCACAAAAATAACATTAATATCAATACTATTAGAAGAAAAAACACTTTCCTGCTATTTCAAGGAAGGGGGAAATCAGGTACAATCAATAGGGACTCTTGGTGGCTCAGTACATATGAAGCCATCTGTATGTGACAAATTTCACAAAAAGACTACAGGGGACAGTGCATAGAACTTTTCTCACTGGGTTAATAATCAGAAGCATTTTATTAAAGACTCCCATTCTCACAAATCCTCCAGTAGTACATAATACTTTCTTATTTTTTAATTCTGGAATTCATTATCCAACACACCTTTTTGGCATTGGGATCAATGCAAGTTCCAAGGATAACAGTCTGTGCCCGGACTCCCAGAGAAGTTTTCCACTGGATCAGTTCCCGTACATTGCCTTCCTTCACAGGACTCCATGAAAGAATAAGGTCAACACTCTCTGCTGGTTCTAGTTCTAGATTCAGATCTGAGCAAGCAAAACCAGAGTCTTCCCCAGGGAACTTTTCACAGAAAAACTGTAAAGGGGAAGAAACAACATTTTACTTTTTTCAACTCTTCAGTAAACCCTGTATTTCTTTTTATCGCTGCCATTAGATATCAATTTTTTTTTCTTATTTCAAACTAACAAAAACAGTGATAAAAACAGACTACTAAACAAGAAAACACAACTGCAGCTATTTCAAACAGCTCAACAAGCACTAACCAGCTGCTTCTGATCTTTGGGGTTTAGTACTCGAAGCTTTCTCTGACGTGTTGTACCCAGCTTGACCGTTTCGAAGCTTATCTTTGGTGAATGAGTAAAGTGTGTGAGGCGTAGAACGGGGATTTCTTCCTCCTGAACAACCTTTTTTTTCTGCTTGTGAACAGGACTGATCTTTAAATGAAAAAAGGGATAAAAATTAATTGCAACAAAATAATCAAAATCAGTAAAGACACTGACAACAAAAAATTACTACTAAAAAGAACAAGAAGTTAAGCAATAAATATATATATAAGCCTACACCTAATTGAGAGATATCAATACCAATTATCAATATTGAGGTATTAGCCATTTTTTAATATCTCAGTAACAGCAAGGTAAAACATAACTAATACTCTGACAGTTAATTACTCCATCTATTATATGATTCAAGGAAAAACCATGTTTTTGTGGTTGGTATAAATAGACCACCATATTCTAGGACCACAATTCACAGAAGGATGCCAGAATGCAGGTATATATGCAGAGTCCATTAAGGTTTTCTTTTATCAACTTGTTTACACATAGGTGGATTCACTAGCAATTAATCAACATGGCATAAAATACTAGATCTGCCAGACCTTGCCTATTTACCCAGTTCCTTTAATTTTGGAACAGATTTTTAAAAATTACTATCATTATTGATAACAGCATTATCATAATGATAATGGCATTAGTTAATGTGTCCTTGTTTACAAAATGATAAAAATATAAATAATACTATTAATGTTAATAATGATAGTGAAAGATACCTTTTTCAAAAAAATCATAAGGAGGTAAAGGAGTCAAATCAGAAAGGCTTTACAATTAACTCCTTGATGATTAATAATTGTGAAACTATCTATGCAAACAATATGAATAAAACAAAACTACAATGAATGTATGTAGCCATCACTAATGGGTTAACCTGTTAACTTCAAGGGTATACTTATAATGCGTACCATTTCAAAAACAGAAAAACTTGCAATTAAGCCCAGACTGGAGTACTCTGATTAAAGTTTGTTTTTTTTTTACTCTAAGCAGTTAGCATTTACACTAACATACATCTGGAATTATATGCATTTTTTATTACTTTACTTTACTTAGGGCATTGGAGTATTCCAGTCTAGAAAGAGTTGCTTGCTTCCTTGAGATTAGACATAGTATAACATGTCAATAGATACCATCCACATTGCAGTCATTGTTATGGATGTTGCACTTCCAGGGTGCTGACTTACAAGTTAAATAACTAAGAGGTAATGCATTCAAGATCACATATGTATATGATAGTTCAGTTTTGATGGTATAAATGTTCAAAATACGTTGAGAGTTAATTCTATGTGGTAAAATTTGCCTTTATTTCCCCTTATTCATAACAATAAAATAGCAGTATCATAAACTTCATAATTACAGATAAAATACAAATATAATCTTAAGTACCTGCATTGGCAAAACGTCAGTTATTAGTATCTGACAAATTGCTTAGGAGTGGGTGCCCATTTCAATAGTTATTAGTATTGGTATCAGCCCACATCTTGGAATCAGCAAATCTATATCACATATTCAGATCCATTAACATTAAAAAGCAAATTAACAGATCATTAATACACAAAGTTACCACACTCACTCCCTACCTCAAAGTATGCCATGGCCTCACCATGGCCTCTTGGCCTGCGCTCTTGGATCTTCTCAGGAGAGGGATCCATCACAAGGAACCCGCGGTGACTCATTGTGGCCGCTGCTAAGGTACCATACCTGAAAAGGATTCCACATGTCATTCATTTGGGATCATCTAGGGGTGCTGTTAATAGCACTATTAACTAATCAGAGGCAAATAACATTCTGGAGTGCAATTCAAAATATCCAATCTATGAGAACTATATGAAAGAATTACCACCTTTACAATCATAAATCCTCAAACATATGAAGCATAAAAGAAAATGCATATTTATTGTCTTTGCTGAAGAAATTATCCATCAACAGTAATAACACGACCATTGAAATTTTTTAATATTCCACCTTAGTGATTATGAATAATATGAAAACTAGTAACAAAGCAGCCATATGCAAATTATTATTATAGCTTAAAAAAGTCATATTTGAGGACAAACACAGAAGCTTTCAAAAAAAAAAAAAAAAAAAAAAAAAAAAAATAGCACATACTTCTATTGGCTGTGTTTTACCCAATCACAATGGAAACTTGTGCTTCATAATAGAAGGCCTACAAAAAGGTGCCATGTCACAGTATTAAAAAATGTCATTGACCTCTGCACTCCAGCAAAACATATATTGGATCAATTACATATATGATGATAACTCATCTGGGATGCCCACAAGTTCTTATCTCCTCATAATGTATGTAGTAGGGATTTTATAGCTTTTGCCCGAGTATGAGGTCGATGCCACACGTTTTGGGTGCCACTTAAACTGTTACAAAAAATAAATATTAAAAGCAAATATTAAACCTTTCTTTCCAAGAATGGCAATCAAGCTTTCACAATATAGTATACAGAAACATTTAAAAAATCAGGCACTTATCATCCAAGACATTTCTGAAGCAGACTGAAAATAAATTAGTAAACTAACATAGAAATACCCCGGTTATATCAATTTTGACAACCCTCCATAAATTGCACTGTGACTGGGCCCTAACCACATGAACTGTCAGCTTGGCATATAATTGTGCATTTCAATAACAATTAAAATTCAATAAATCATTCCTTGGGCAATAGATACATAAACCTACAGTGAAATATAAAGAATCTTGGATTTCTATATTCCGTTTAACATTAAACGTTAAAGAGTAAATTTAAATTTATATCACATTTCAAATCAAGACAGTTGGTGAATTCAGAAATACATTACATTCGTAATACTTTTGATCACTTGACAAAATGTATCATATACAACATGCACTTCGTCCTCATTGGCGAACAAGAATGACACTTATGCACAGAATTGCAAATATAAAAGTAAAAAAAAAAAACCACGTAAGTAAAGACAGTTAAAACAGGTTCGCTGTAACACTAGACACCAGAGACATCTTTAACCATTATTCCTCTCTATTTATATCACCGCGCCCTTATATCACACTCTTCACATGCAAAAGCACCGATATATTCCACTTTTCACGCACAATAACCAAGAAATACGTACAAATAAAGGTTTCAGCTATCGTTACATCCTTCCTTCTCTCGCACTTCCACGCTTCTGTTGACAAAGTTTTAAATGCCCGGGCGTTTGAATTCTCTAACCAATCACAGTCAAGATCGTTCTGCTGCGACCAATCATAGTCAAGCATGTCCTTCTCCGACCAATAAAAAGGACCGTGGTGCGTTTTCAGCCAATCATGAGAGGGAAGGATCTCCATTTGACCACTGAGCATGTGAAATTCATATAAAAAAACAAATTTGCGCATAGATATAAATAGAAACAATTTACGTTTATATGTATACATATCTTTATATACACATATGTATTTTACATGTATATAAATTAGATAGATAAATATATAAATATATAAATATATAAATATATAAATATATATAATATATATATATATATATATATATATATATATATATATATATATATATATATATATGTATGTATATATGTATACATATATGTATATATATATACATATATATACATAGAGAGAGAGAGAGAGAGAGAGAGAGAGAGAGAGAGAGAGAGAGAGAGAGAGAGAGAGAGAGAGAGAGAGAGAGAGAGAGAGAGAGAGAGAGAGAGAGAGA